GGTGCTGGGGTGCAGCCGCAGCCGGGGCGCTGCCAGGCCGGCGGAGGGGCCCGTGGAGCTGGGTGCTGCCCTGCCCTGCCCTGCCCTTGCCTGCTCCTCGGGGCAGGAGCCGTGGGGCTGGCGGTGCCAGATCCTGCGCCGGGGCCATACCTGCCCGGTGCCGCTGCCAGGGTCAGGTCGGCCGGGGCGCGGAGGGTCCCCGTGGGATGGGTTCCTCGGGCCCGGCCGCGGCTCCACGCAGACCTGCCGGAGCAGGCCGGGGCTGCTCCTGGCACACGGCACCCCGGGAGCACGTGCCGGGCGCGGGGAGCAGGCCTGGATCTCCCCGCTCCGGCTGCTTCCTCTGTTTGGGGAAGCGGAGCGGCGGAAACCGGCGCTTCCTCCGGCCGGGCTGCGTGGCGGACGGCTGATAGCATGGGGCGGCCGAGGGAACCCCGGCTCCCAGGGGTTCCTCCTGCCCGTCCCAGCTGCCTCCTGCACCTGAAGCGTCCCTGCCCGGAGGGGACACAGGAGGTGGTGACAGCCTGGTCCCGCACGCTGTGGCCCCTCTCCTCCTGCCCACCACGGGGGCTGCAGGACGGCCCTGCTGCCGTCGGGCTGCCCTGGCTGCGCGGGGCTGGGGGCAGCCCTGAGCCCCCCCCGTGGCCGTCCCCTGGCAGCAGGTCCCCTTCCCCAGCGGTGCCAGCCCCACGGGACGGCAGGCAGCAGGGACAGAGGCAGGGCTGCAGCTGGGCCCTCTGGGCACCGCTGGCAGTGCCAAGGGCACGGCAACGGTCAGAGCCGTCTTTGGGCTTCCTGCATCCCATGCGCCGCGCTGGCTCCGGAGGTCTGGGCTGGCACGGGCAGCCGTGACGCCAGCTCCCTGGGGAGCCCCTTGCCGTGGCCAGGGGGTCCTTGGAAACCCACAGTGCCGGCCGCCCCTTCCTGGGATCGTGGGAGCAGCTGCCCTGGCCCTGCCGCTGTGGCTCCTCTCCTGTTTATTTATATCCCTGAGAAGGAGCCGGCCACCACCACCGCCTCCTCCTCCCGCGGGCCATGGCCGAAGAGCTGGGCACCGTCTCCGTGCCCGCAGCCATGCAGGAGCATATGGAGCCTTCCCTGGCAGCGTGACGGTGGCTGGAGGAGCTGGCCCCGTGCACGGGCGCCGCGCGACAGGTGCCCTTAATGCCATGGGTCAGCGGTGCCCGGCCCTGCCCCGCGACACAGCCATACCTGCAGTGGCCCCCTCCTCCCCGCTGCTATTTTTAGCAGCCGTCTCTTTTTCTTGGTGTTCCGTGGCGCGCTCTGGCCTGTCGTGCCTCCAGCTGCCCTGTTGGGCTGCAGCTGGCGGGGGAGACCGCGCATCTCCCCGGGGAGCAAGCGCTGGCG